ACATCTGCGTCAATCCTCTGCAAGCAATTCGAGCTTGGGCGCTTCTTTCTCTCACTGCGGCAGGAAAAACAGCAAAAGCAGCAAAGAAGTTTCTGCGTCGTCGTGAGTTTCTTGATTTCGATCACTTTGATATGCTGGCGAAGTTTTCACCAACATAGTTCCACCAACATAGACTAGAACATTGGCTTTTCCCCCTTTCAGTCATGGGTGGGCTGGTTCCAGAGGACGAGTTGATACACGGCACACTTCGAGCTCTTCATGCTCTCCTGGGAGAAAGAACACCTCCATCGGCGTGTCTTCGGTTATTCGTCGAGCATCAACCGGTTAGCTTTTGGTTTTCCTCAGTTGCCATGTCATCATTGCAAGGATATTTCAGGCGGTTCCTGTGAAGAAGGATGTCTTAGCAGAGATAAACTTCTACTACGGCTCTATAAAGGTATGCTCCACTCAGGTTTCCTTTTCATTGGAATTTCTATGTTACTGACCCTCATGAAATACTCAATCTCTTGTGGGAAATGGCTGCTCTCATGTTGCAGAACCCCCGATCCGTGTTTGTCGAAACGGGCTTCGCCGGCGACGATGATGGTCTCGCTTCGATTGCCAGAATCAACGCAGAAGTCGAAGTAAGTGGATAAGGAAGATATTCTGCTGCCCTATTCGGATTGATCACCAGTCCAGCCTGAACATCCCTGAAATGGGGGGGGACGAAAAGGATCGGAGCTGTCGACCAGCTTATTTAACTCGGTGAAGTAAGGATGCAGTCCTTCTTGTCCGGGGACCGTACTGAACAAGGCGTCTGACTCAAAGCAACATCAATTCGAAGGCTGTTAGCCCTTCCCTTATTTATACACTACCCTACTCAGGTTCATCTTTGTGAACAGTGCAACCGTCACTTTCAGGAGAGCACTGGTGGTCGCGTAAACTTTGTCGTTCGTGAGGATAACGGGCCTAACAGGTAGCTGGCACGACTTACTTAAAAGTTTTTTTCCCCAAAAAGTTTTTCTTTTCAGGAGAGCACAAATGGTGCTGGTGTCGGCTTCTGACTGCACATTCTTTTGGCGTTTCGATGGGAAACGTGGTCCTCTTCAGAGATGTCAGTTCTACGACACATCTGCCAGTGACATAGACGCGATGAGCTATGTAAGAGGCAAACAGTTGCACTAACGTTTCGTACAATTCTGGATGGAGTGAAGAGCTCTCACTCCAATGCATTTAGATTGAAGTTTGGCCATGTGAAGGACTTTTTCGATATTCTTCGAGTGATGGTGAACAACTTTTGGAGTTGGATTCCTACGACGAAGGATTCAAACTGTACCTTTACAAGTTAGTGGCTTGTGACCTATGTTCTTTGAAATATCCATTTTCAAGGGTCTGTAGTGAAGAATGGCTCATCTACGTGTCTTTTCATTGCAAAGTTTGGATTTCGTTATTGTAGGGTTGTCTCACCTGGATTCCTTTCACGACATCGTTGCTTACTTGTCATCCTTGTCATTTGTCATCCTTACATCTAAGGGCAGATCTATCTCAAGAAATTTTTATTGCTTACTATGAGTGTTTCGTACAATTAGTTTTTCCGTGGAAATTTTANTTGCAAAGTTTGGATTTCTTGATTGTAGGGTTGTTTCGCCTGGATTCCTTTCACGACATCCTTGCTTAATTGTCATCCTTGTCATTTGTCATCCTTAAATCTAAGGGCAGATCTATCTCAAGAAATTTTTATTGCTTACTATGAGTGTTTCGTACAATTAGTTTTTCCGTGGAAATTTTACATTTCAGAACAAAAGTCACGAAGCTCACGACGAAAGCCTTTCTTCAGGCCATTGATACTCAGCTTGGAGCCAAAAGTCAGCTCAGAGTCAGTTTTTGAATATTGCCTTCTAAAGCGTCGCTTTTCTTCAAGCTTTTCTCTTGATAATTGAAAGGCCCGGCTCAAAAAAGCCTTCCGTCATTTCAAAGTCGGTTAATTGGTGCAGGACTCGTCTGGGATGATGAAATTACTGACATGTACAACGGCTGGCTACCGCAAGTCATTGTTTAGGCCGTATACGCCTTCAAAACGTCACTACGATTCTGAATGGAAGTCGAGTGCAGGGGCGCATCCTAAAATGGGATTGATTAACGCCAAAGACTTTCTTACCGCTAGTTAGGATCTCAGACTTTATTAGTAAGAATACGAAAACAACAGGATTTTTTGACAAGGATGTCCGGATGGGCTTATTCGAATAGTAGCCAGAATTTGATGAAAATTTGTGGATGCTCATGCCTGTCCCCACGGATGCTTTGTGGATACTTACATCCGTGGGTACAGACACATGATCGATAAGCAGCACCATCTAAGTAAAAGGCTCATGGGAGCGTTTAACGAATGTAGAATACGTTTGGGTTTTCATCCTTCTCGTGGTTATTATCCGCCAACTCCTTTAAACATCGATTCTCAGTTTAAGTCACGATATCAGCACCTGCTACATAGTGACTTGAATCGAGAATCGATGTTTGAAGGGGTTGGCGGATGATATAAGCACCTACATACTGCATAGTTCTCATAAGTTTTCTGTCCAGTGAACTCTGAACCCATTTTGGCGTTCAAAACTGGCACACGTTCAGGTCTCCTAACAAGTTACTCGGAAGTCTCTGCTCCTTTCCTCGACGCTGCTCATCTTTTGAACACTTGTGGAACTATGTTAATTATTTCAATCGCGAAGTCTTTGAAAGTTTAACTCGATCACAGTCTCTTCAAAACCGTTACCAGCTGTCAGGGGTAGCTGATCGCTCCCTCTACCACCACCTTTTTAGTGCCATTCCTTCCAAAACAAGTTTGACTCTGTTTCTCTTTGTGGCGTTGTATTCTATCCGCAATTATCGACTTGAGGACTGTCCTTTCTAACTAGGGTTGTTTTCTTGCTCCTCCTTCTTGACCCCTTCTCTTGTTTTTTTTTTCAGTATCAATGATTACTGGTGCGAACAGCTGCTTTCGCAATCGTCTGCGATTGAAGGTGGCCGTGTTAGAGGCACCTGGCAACAATGGTTTTTGCGATTTTCGCTTAGGGTGGTCTCCTATTCTACACTGGACATAGTTGGACCGAAAAACTGCTTGAACAGGACGTAAGGAGTTTCAAAACCATTTGGCCGACATACACACAAGAAAGTGGCAGTGTTATGTAAGAAAGTTGGGTTAAGGGTGCATTACCCACAATGAAGCATTAGGATGCCAACCAGTAGAGCGCTAATGTGAGAGGTACCCATACAGTTACAGACCGCGATCACGTACAACGTACGTATAACGCTTTCTCCGCCATTTCTTGCACTATTCCGCACCATTACTTACTCAAACTAGACATCTCAGGATTACTGTGAACTGTGATTTTGACACTTCTAGCCACAATCACTCACATTTAGAAAGGTCACAAAAGTGATCGTTCCACAAGGATGGCGGGTTGTGAGGCGGATAGTCTAGAGCTTAGAAATGTGCGCTCATGTGTGCATTCAGAAAGGCCACTAGTTCCATCTCTGCCATGGTAAAAACAATGTCCTGCAAAATGGCAGTAATGAAGCCGGTAATAGCGTCAGGGCCAGGATGACAGGTCAAATGGAAAAACCTNGTGCATTCAGAAAGGCCACGAGTTCCATCTCTGCCATGGTAAAAACAATGTCCTGCAAAATGGCAGTAATGAAGCCGGTAATAGCGTCAGGGCCAGGATGACAGGTCAAATGGAAAAACCTCTGCAACAAGTACGATCACTGAGGAAAGTAGTTATGAAGTTAGGACGTCACTCGGAAATGGGGTGCAGAATCCTCTCATGAATTCCATGGTTAGTATGCGAGGCTACATAGTGAATGACATCGGCCAAGAAAGTTGCGTCAAATTGGTACTGTGAACGTCGAACACTGGGAAATCTCAAGACATTGGCAATCTGATGAATCCCAAAAAGGTCGAAACTCTGTGCCTTAAGGAGATGTGCTGGAAAAGAGCAGATGCTGGTGACATTGGGAACGGTTTTAAGTTCTTTACAGCAGAAAAACAATGGGTTTGGCGGTGGTGGAATCTCTAATGCACTCTGTCTCCGCTGTCAACAGGATCAGCGACCGAATCATGTTTCTACTACGAATAATTGTTGTGAGCACTGACACAAAAACGGGCCACGGGACTATAATATCTTGTAGGCACCGTAGGCCGGCTGCCCGACCCCGAGAAAAATAAGTTCTATCTGAACCTCGATGAAGGCATTAGGTCAGTTATGTGAGGAGGTTCACCAGTGTTGCAAATCTGAATGGTCATCTTGAAATTTTCAGGAGGGGCTAGAAAGGGTTCATGGAGGTAACAGAATAGTACCCAGAGACGAAGATGGCGAAAGGTTCTTCGCTTAGTTACAGTCCACACATAGCAGCATGCAGTGCCCTCTTCTCAGAAAAGGAGGCTTAGGTGGTGGTCCAATGCAGCGGAGAAGAGACAAACGCAATTTGATCATTCTCTTTACAAGAACATCCTTCAGAATATAAGAGGCATCAACAAAGATTAGAATAGAGTTCGGTGGTGGAGGCCGCTCTAAGTTGCGAATGAAATACCAAACGGAGGATACTGGAAGTTGGTCCCCAGATCTCTGAGATCCAGCAGAATGGAGAGGCACTGTAGAGTTTATCTACAAGCTGTGTAGGAGTAACACTGAGTGGAATTCGAGATGCATCTATCGAGGACAAGGTGGCATGGTTCTGGAACGATAAAATCCGAAGATAGGGAGAAAAAAGTATAGCAAAACAAAGACGCATACATCAGCCAGCTTCAGAAGACTCTTTTACAGAACTTACAAGAGGCTCACATAGACTGCCGTAGCGAAGGCAATGGACGCTCTGTATGAAAAGCACTGTGTTCAAAAAATGTGAAATCCGCCTTCCGACTTCCAAAGCGCGGAATCGGAACTAAAGAAGACGTCGGGATAGCAAGGCCTGTCAAGAATAAGTTGTCATTGTGAAAAGGTTCGGCAGGTGGGAAATACTTCGAAGGTGCGATGTGATGAGCTTGCTCGAAGAAGCCGACAGCATCCGGTCAGATGGACAATGGTGCTGGAAATTCATAGCGAACGACCACCAGGATCTACGAAGAAAACAGAGAGACTTGATCAAGGAACGTTTCCAAAGCCACGGTAGCAGCGGAAGATGCCGCATATCGAAGGAAGCGGCTAATAGGAAGAGCGGGCTCTGCGATTGCGCGGGATTCACGATAGACGTATACGGAGAAGAAAAAATGGCCTGCTCTCTGCTCTCTGCTCTAGCTCCTTTTTACACTCACTAGTTTGCTGAAGAAGTTCTTCTCCATGATCTGATTATTTTGGCATCAAGTGTTACTTTCTGGTGACAAGGTCCTCGTTTTGGTTTCGATGTTTTCCTCCCATTCTTTTTTCCTCTGTTGATCTTTTTGCTGCCGCGATCCCTTTTTCAATTCCCTACCGCAAGAGGCTGAAAACGGTGAGCTATTTTAGCTGTAACTAGGGTTTTTTGTTGACTAGTGCTTATAAGTAAATGAATTTTTGCTTACCATAGTCACTTATTTGCACCAGGACCCACATGTACGCAATGACGCACTGTGCGTAGCTCGTCCAAACACCCCACACTTCTTCATTCTGGTCTCATTCTCGTCCAGCCCCTTTTCAACGATTTCTCGAGGACTACTTTCACTTCGGGAACACCGATCGACACAGTTCCTTCGCCTCCATCGCACTATTTTCCATCTTATTTTCCATTTTTCATCATAATCTGGGATACCCAAAATTATCGTGAACTGTGCCTTTAA